ACAGAGCTGGGACCTCTGTAAGTCTACAGATCTTTTCAATGCAGGTGATGGATGTTCAGGCTAAAGATTTCCAACAGCGTAAGGAAATCTTTCCAAATGAGTAGAAATGGAAGTCCTCGTGAAGAAAGAGGTGCATCAGGCCTGGCCGGCCCTCGCAGATGGCGGAACAAAACCCCACCCGACTCCCTCACAGCAGTTCGTCTGCAGAGACATTATGTCCTCCTGCACCTCTTCCTTTGGCAGGCCTCTGCGTCCGAGCCACAGGGGCTTCCCGACGAGGAGGAGGAGGAAGGTTTTGACGTGCTATAGTTCATGCTCAAGACCCACCCCAGTTTGTTGTGTAGCACCTGCTTGAGTCCCGGCGGCAATGGCAGCACCTCCAGCGTGTCTACATAGTCGGGCAGGAGCTGGCGCAGGCGGTAACAGCAGAGGTACTGGAGGGACGTGCAGCTGGCGCAGGAGCGGATTACCTTCATGCTGCTCTTGGCCGCTGTCGAGCACACCATGGGGTAAAACTTCTTGTTCTGCAGCTTCGTAGCTGCAACCCCTGCCGGGGGACAGCATCAGGGAGGTTCCATGTTAGTTCTGATGAGGTGATCTCAGTCCTCCCAGCTACCCTGAACCTATTAACTACCGAGCTGTTGGAAAACGCTTGGAAAACAGCCTTTTGAAATCCCAATCTATTAAACAACAAATGTAACCTTCCTCCCACTCGCTTCACGCCTTGGTCTTCTACTTTGCGAGCGTTTTCTCTGGCAGCCCTGCTGCAGCCAGACTCTGAGTTCAGCCCAGGCGGCGCTGCTCCCCCGCCCAGTGCCCCTGCCCGCAGGCCGCTGCGCCTGCCCTTGCCCTTACCTATGCACTTGCGGTTTTTGAAGAATGTGAGTGTCCCGTGCCACGTGTCCAAATGCACCCCGATGATGGAGCCTTGGCCGAACCTCGAAGAGAAGTTTGTTTTGTCTCCCTTGTGATGCAGTAGCCCTTCAAACAAACAAACAAACAAAAAAACTGCGTTCCGTGGAAAGCCTGCGCTCCACAAATTTATCCCAACTCCCACACTGCGAGTTCCCACTGGTACAACCTCACTCAGTGCCTAAAAAACCCCTCCGTGGCCTGATCCCTGCCCTCCCACCCCGGAGTGGGTGATGAAAAGGGGAAAGTCGAGGTTTTGCAACACCAGAGCGCGGGCAGCGGCACTGAAACCCCCACTCGGTGACCTGCAACCGGCAGCCCAGGCGCCCTGGAGGTTCACTCACTGGTCTCAGGGGTCTGCAAAACGCCGGCAAGGCAAGATGCTCCAAGAGCTGCAGGCAGCTGCTCCGGCTGTTGTTCACGAAGAGACTCGCAGGTCTTGGTGATCGTTTTGGCCTCAATCCCGTTCAGATCATTTAACTCTCAACCCCTTAAGACAACACTTATGCCCGCTGCTGCCCTTGCAGCCATCCTGCCCTCTGCCACCGCCCTGCCTGCGTTACCTGTGTAGGAGAGTCCCCAGCTGTCCTCGTCTTTGCCCAGCAGGCTGCAGAAGGTGTGGCGGTACTTGTCCAGATTCACATCCGACGTCCCAATTCCCACCATCTGGGAGGCAAGGCCAGGAAGAAGAACACAAGCTTAGCGCCTTTTCAAGCAACAAAACACAACCGAGACTCCACCTCCGGCTCTTCCCTCCTTTCCTTGGCACAAGCACAAACCACGCAAGTGGTTTGGGTAAAGCCAAGTCAGAGGGCTCAGGATGGAGTTGAACCGGAGTCCCAGCTCCGGTTTCCTTTCCTTTCTCCAGCTGCACTGCTGGAGAAGCTTGCTGTCCTGTTCATAGAATCACAGAATGGTTTAGGTTGGAGGGGACCTTTAAAGGTCATCTGGTCCGACCCTCCTGCCGTGGGCAGGGACATCTTCCACTAGATCAGGTTGCTCAGAGCCCCGTCCAACCCAACCTTGAATGTTTCCAAGGATGGGGCATCGACCACCTCTCTGGGCA